ACCTGTTACTTAAACAATGTGCTTAATTGTTAGAAATAGAATCAGAAGAAAACCTCATCAACCCCCAGAGCATCCTACCCTACTGGGACATTAGCTAGATTCAATTCAGAACACAAACACACCATAAATACATTTCGAATAACAAGACCAATATTTTATTTCTCATAAACAACATTTGTAAATCAATTTAATATTTATGCAATGTTTGGAAAAATCCTCACAGAGATCTTAAGCTCTTGATAAAGAACAAAGGGAAAATGTAAAATTTCTTTATGGAGTGTAAACTGGAAGACCTACTTCAGAGGTAGTTTGTATTTTCCATTTAAAAATCTGACAAAATTCAAACTCATACTAACCTAAAAACAAAAAAAAAATAAAAATAAAAAAAATAAAAAAAATAAAAATCTGACAATTGCTTAGCTTTTGTTTTTTAAGAGACAAATGTCCATAGAGTATCACTTTGAAAATCCATTGGGAGCCTTTGTCACGTAGCTTCACCTATCAACATTCAAACAAAACATAAGTCACATTAGCATGATGGAAGACAGAGCAGCTTTTTATGGCTGGAGCAGGTTAGTCATTGACTCAGTTTCCTAACAACAGAGCCACAGAGAAGAGCTACTCGTCCAGAGAAGCCTTTGCCAAGGGGAAACCTCAATGACTCTGCATCTTTAGTTACAGCCCAGAGTGCTCCCCTGATGCACATCCAGTGGTTTCCTAGATCTTCCACCAGCACCTCATTCTCAAGTCCAAAACTAAACTTGCCCAAACACCTCCTGCCTCGGACAGTGGGACCTATCTCAGTGAGTTGGGACCAGTCATATATGGCAGAAACTGGTGGGATCATTGCCAAAAAGCTCCCTCTCCCTCATCCTGCCTCCAACTTCAATTCAGCCCAGCAAGTCCTGATGAGTCCACCTCCAAATCAGATGTTGTACAGGTTGAGCATCCCTAATCTGAAATCTGAAATTTGAAATACTCCCAAATCCAAAACTTTTCAAGTGCCAACATGATGCTCACAGGAAATGCTCAATGGAACATTTGGATTTCGGATTTTCAGATTAGGGATGCTCAACCAATAAGTATAATACAAACACATGTATTCTAAAATCTGAAATATTTTTGATTTCAAGCATTTTGGAAAAGGGATACTCAATCTGTATTAGGGAATCACTCTTTTTCTTAAAACTTTGCAATGGCTCCCTACTATCAAAGAAACAAAAGGAAAACCCTCAAACTGATCCACCCACTTGATGCTGGCTGCCTATCCCTCCTACTCCAAAGGCCTCAGGGCTAGCCACCCTCACCTTGTCACCTCCTCCTTTGGAAAATGCCAGGCTTTTTTGCGCCTCCATGATTTTGTTCATACATGCTCTTTCCTCTGCCTTCTCCTTCTAGAGTTAACACACTCATCCTTCAAAGCCAAATGTACATCCTCCTCTTTAAGGAAGATGTGCCAAGGCCCTATCCCTCAGGGCAAATCAGTCGCTCAAAGCAAAGAGCATCAGGATATAATAACTTGTTTGTAAGTTTTTCTGCTCTGCAAGTCTGTGCACTCCCAAAAAGCAATGCCTATGTCTTTATTTCCAGTTGTCTTCCCCATTCCTTGCTCAGAAAGTGCCTGTACCAAGTGTGTATATGTGTCGAATGAATTGCTGATTTGAGGTCAGTAGTATGAGACCAGCCTAAGCAAGGGCAAGACCCTGCCTCTACAAAATAGAAAACTTAGCCCAGCGTGGTAGCACACACCTGTAGTCCCAGCTACCTGGGAGGCAGAGGCAGGGGGACCCCTTGATCCCAGGAGTTTGTTGTTACACCACTGCACTCTACCAGGGGCAACAGAGCCTAGACTTGAGACCCTGTCTCCAAACAGAAAAAAAAAGGACTAAAAACCAGTATAAACCCAGTAAAACCAGAAGAGTTAAACTATACTTTTACCACAAATTTTTGTTTTACTACCATCGACAAACTGCTCTCCCCATAATTCTAATTATCTCATCAGTTGTATCAGCTTTCAGTTACTTAAAGGAGGATTTTTAGTCCATTTCATTCTTACCAGTTAAGAAAAGCTGGTACCTGTGAATTGCTTTGCAAGTAAATTTTCACACAAAGGCCAGGCATTGGAGAACCACCCCACACTGGCTTCTGACTTGCTGGGGAAGAGGAGGAGAAATAGATCCCACACCTGCTCTTTGCTAATGAAAGAAGGGTCCAGTTTCCACTCCACCTCAACCCCCATCACTCCCAAACCTCCCTAGGAATTGCTAGGCTAATCTCAGAGGCCAATATCTCCCAGAATAAGGACTGTCAGTGGGTGAGGGGCAGCTCTCATTACTAAGTATCATTACTAAGTACACATTGGCCTGAATACTTTCAAAGTCAAGACTCCAATGTTTTCTTTCTGCCTATTCTCTAGAGTTTAGCAGAAAGGATTCTCTTTTGCTGCCTTGATGTCCTAACACCTCAATAATCCATTTTCTTCTAGAACAGGCAGAGAAATAAGCACAATAAAACTACTGCAGGGCTGGGCGCGGTGGCTGACACCTGTAATCCTAGCACTCTGGGAGGCCCAGGTGGGTGGATTGATTGAGCTCAGGAGTTCGAGACCAGCCTGAGAGCAAGAGCGAGACCCTGTCTCTACCAAAAATAGAAAAAATTAGCCGGGCATGGTGGCACATGCCTGTAGTCCCAGCTACTCGGGAGGCTGAAGCAGAAGGATCGCTTGAGCTCAGGAGTTTGAACTTGGTGTGAGCTAGGCTGATGCCACGGCACTCACTCTAGCCTGGGCAACAAAGAGAGACTCTCACAAAAAAAAAGACAAAAAAAGCAGAATGCCCCTCCCTGGTCATGGCACATCCTCTTTACTGGCCTCATCTACCACCCAAGGTCCCCTGTTGCAGGGACCCACACCTCAAGCCACTCAGCTGCACAAGTAAAATCCATCTTAATTTCAATCTAATTACACATGTAATAACACCAGTTGCCCCAGCCAAAAACCTGGATGATTATTATAGATGACCTGTTTGCTCACACTGCTATCCCAATAAGAAGCAATCAGAACTGTGCGGCTCCTCACATTCCATTTTAAATTTAAAAAGGAAAAATACAATCCTTGAAGAGGTTAATCACTACATAAAAAGTAGATTTTCTTATTTTTTGTCCCGAAAAATAAGTTGAAAAGTAATAGTGCAAATTTCCTCTTATCAGATAATGAGAATTATTCCTGCTGTTCCTTCCTCATGTTTGGGATCAGAAAAATAGTCAGGTACTGCTGAACAAGGCCCAGAAAGAAGGCAGGGAGCCTCCAGAGGACCCACCAGCCAGATTATACAGCTTCCACATGAGAAAGCTTTGCAAGTTCATCTGGGGACTTTTACTTTTGAACAGGGAGCAAAATTTCTTGAAATCTTAAAAATACTTGCTTCCCCTACTTTTACAACCTCTGAAACACTTGGTTCCTTTAATTTCAGTTCCCCAGTTTGCTGGCCTCTCCACCCTCCACGGCAGCACGCATTTGTATTTTATAATACTAAAGAACTGATCACATTCCACTGCTATTTTATGTTTTCCTTTCAGATATGTCCATTTTCAAACCCCTAGCACATAGCTTCACAGTAATTTTATTTTTGGAGTTCCCAACTACATCACTATTTACAAGCACGTGCAGAATTCTGTGAATTCACAGAATAATGCCAGTACGTTTGTCCATAATAAAGTAATATTAGGGACCACTGGTAAAATAATTCATTAAATTTCTCTAGCTATACAGATAGTGCATTTTGTCCAATTATTAAATGAAACTCCATTTTTTAAATGCATATAAAGGTCCAAAGCTGCTCTGCCCCTCCCCTTTTGTGCCATTCCTTGTGACACTGATAGAAAAAGATTTCAAAACTCCACGTGGTCCATCCAGCTCACGCTCAATTTGGCTATTGTTCCTCAAAGAACAGTCTCAGAATCAATTTTGAAAATAAGCACCATAGATTTTTCTACCAATCAGCAAAGCTTTTTCTCAAACTGAGTTGTAACTGGTTTACTTTGGGGGCCCTCTCTACTTATACAGTGGCGTTTGTCCATATGCATGTAAGCTTCAGTCACGTACACTACAAATCCATTTTTTTAAGAGCCCAGGCCTTGCTATGTCGTCCAGGCTGTAGTGCAGCAGATATTGACAGGCACAATCATCGCTCACTACAGCCTTGAACTTTTGGACTCAAGAAATCCTACCCCTCAGCATCCCCAGCAGCTGGCACTGCAGGTGCGTGCCACCACACTGACTCCATTACAGCTCTTTAGACACACGTGGCTGCAACTTTCACAGTGGCATTATTCCATTTTACAAGAACGCATTTTCTGAGGTAGCCACGACTTCTATGCTCTGTCTAGATATGCTCAAATACACATCCCAATATAAACCCCCTTATCATTCAAAAACCAAGAAAAAAGTGAAAAACAAGCTCCAAAAACAACAAAGAAAACTTCAAGCAGATCCTTTGAAAACCCACTGTTGCCCTCAAAATTCCAAAGTCTATGATTTCACAGTGAACAACTGCTCAATCTGCCAAAAGCCCGGCAAACCTCTCGCTGTGCCCCCGCAGCAGTGTACCCGCCTCCACAGTGCCGGGGTGCCCGGCGTCATCCCCCACCCAGCCCATCCAGAGCCGCCTGCCTGTGACAGCCCCAACCTTTGCTTTCCCCGTTCCTGAAGTTTTGGCTGACAGAACATTTCCAAAGAAAAGTCAATGTGTGCCACCTGCAATGGTGCCCACTGGGGCCCTCAAGACGCCAGGGCTTCACCCGCGCACCCCTCGCTCCCTGATAGCCCCAACAAACCCTATTCGGGTGCTCAGGAAAACTAGGGCCCTGGGGGGGGGACTTTTTCTGATGGGGTATGTGGGCACCTTACCCTCACAAGGGCAAAGGGGCTCTCCACCGCCACCCAAGGCCATTTACCTCAGAGGAGCCCTCACCAGCTGCACCTCAGCTGGAACTGCACTCACCCTAGTTGAAGCCTCTCCTGCTGCAGGAGGTGTGTGAGGGCCGTGGGGGGCCTTGAAGCTCTACCAGGTTCCCCTGGCCTCCTGTGGAACCCCCTACGGTTTGCCTTGAGGAGTGGCTTCTGACCGACTCCTCAGACAATGAACGCCAAAGGACGGCTGGGCGGGCTCCCAGAGTGCAAAGCGGGAACAGGGAGCATTTCCGCCTAGACCTTGAGGTGTTGGGGTCCTGAGCTTCCGGCACTGGGTGCGGAAGCTCCTTCCGCATAGCCCTCAGCTAAGGGAGTCACAAGGTTCCACTCCAATCTAAGCCCTCCACTCTCCATGGACCTCAGGGCACTGGCTGAGCAGCACTTGATGAAGCCCAGAAGATGGGGTCTTCTTGAGTCCAATCAGGGCTCCATTATGGAGTTAAAGAAGTTAGGACCCCATCTTGATCAAAAGGGCCATTGTAGCCTAAGAGGAACCAAAATGTGATCCTTGCTGAGTATCAAGTCCTACGTAGCAGGGTGTTGATGGTGCCTGAAACCCCAGAGGTTGGAGGGAGGACAGCTACACAGAGATCCCCCTTGACCTGCCATCTCTTTAAGCATGGCGATCCCAACCACAAGGGCAGACTTTTTTTTGGCATTTCCCAATCTGTCCTCCTCTCTTGCCTTTTCCAAAAGAGACACCCACTGAGCATTGAGGGGTTGTCCTACGTTACACGATTTGACTTTTCCAGTCTGTAAAGACTCACAGGGTAGATGATTTCACAATCCCCCTCAGCCACTCATTCTAGAGTTGAACAATCCTCAGTAAGGAACAGATTTAATACTACATGTTGTTTTCTCAAGGTGGCCAGTTTTGTGACAAGTTAAAAAGATCTTCAAAGAGTTGAAAGATGGAAAGCCAACTTTAATTCTGTTCCACCACTAAGCACAGGAAGAACAAAGTAAATATTAATTTAACATCATTAATATTAAATTTAATTTATACAACAGTGTAATTTAATTTACACAATAATGACAACCCCTTCCCCTCAGACAAGGAGGGTATGTCACAATAAGGGGTATAAAGCTTTCAATATTCCACTCAATCCATCTGATTTGAAAACTTGACCACTCTAAAAGGTGGTCTTTGATTAACTTTTTTCTTTTTTAATTTTTTTTTTAGAAATGGGTCTTGCTATGCTGCCCAGTCTAGTGTGCACATGCTCAATCATAGCTCACTGCAGCTTCTAACTCGTGGGCTGAAGGTATCCTCCTGCCTTATAGCCTCTCAAGTGGCTGGAACTACAGGAGTAAGCCACCACACCTGACTTGAAAGGTGGTCTTTGGATGTATTATTTTCTCCATATCAAAATTAAAGATCAAATCTTAAACTTTTATGAACTTCAAAACCAAGCTCCTAAACTCTATTTCAGAAGGGGCTCATTTTAAAACAGCATGGTTCTTCCTGAGTACATTTTAAATAGAACATTCTGATTTGTACCTGTATCTAAATCCTTCAGGCACCACAAACACATTCTAATTGTTAACATTAAGTTTAAAGGCTTCACTATGACATGACATCTGAAATTACCAGGAAATGGTAGAGTAAAAAGTTGTTTAGTGAAGCAGGCATTTATGTAACACTTCTAAAATTCTAAGTCACAGTCCTGTATGAGGGGCAGAGAAATCAGGTCCCATCTACCCCTGACCTTCATGCACTTCTTGTCCTTAAGCAAATCACTTACCTTCTTTAAGTGCCAGATTTACATATAAGGTAATAATGACACTATGTATGTATGTAATGCTTGTCATTTGTAGAGCATATCCTCTACATAAATTCACTTTAATTATGCATTTAGCACTGAGTTGTCAGAGACAACATTCAAAAGAGAGATTTTTACATGCTTTAATCCTGATAACATTACAACCGAGCTTCTTAACAAACAAAGCATGACTCCCACCCCAAAATCAGAGAGATTAGCACTAGCAAAGCAGAAAAGGAAGAGTTTTGTCTTAAGTATAAATCCTGGTCGGTAGTTAAAGTCTCCAAAACCATCTTGTCTTTCTCTGACAGTGGGGCCAATAATAAATAGTACCTGCTTCAGAAAGTTGGGACGATTCAATGGGATGATGTATGCAAAGTGCATAGAACAGGGCCTGGCAGGAAGGTGGTTCTGGTCAGTAAAGCTGTAATTTCTATAAGAAGCCACAGTAGAATACTCACCAAAGGCAGGAAGGGCTGCCCAATGTCCATCCTGCCTAAACACAGCATGCAGGATTTGGGAGACTTCCACCCGAGACTCTAGTGGTCTTGCTTGGAGATGCCATTTTACCTCTGCTTTTTCTCCCAGGAGACTGGCCAGTATCAAAGACTAGGCACTTGTCTGCAAAGAAATGACAGTCATAAGCAGCTTTTACAGCAAGCCCAGACATTTCATAGAAATCGCCAAAGGAATTCCCTGGAAGACAACAAGCCAAGTGAGGTAAGGAAGAGAAAGAATTATCTCATTTTCACACCTCTTGAGACAAAACAGAGCATACTTGTAATAATAAAAAGTCAACATCAAGTCACTCCTGGCTTGTAAGGAAACCCACGCTTTCATTCATCTTATGTTCATTTGGACACAATTTTGTGGAGCTTTGGTAATATTTCCTTCACATCTGAAATAACTGATCAATGTGTGTTTTGAGTTTCCATCAAAAGTTCATTTTTCTGATATGATAGCAATACATAGTGATATACCTTAAAGAAGTCTGGTATATTTTACTTGTGGAAAAATTATTGATAAATACGTAAAAGAAATTTAAGAAGTGCTATTTTAATTTATTGGGAATTTTTAAAAATCAATGAATTCCAGAAGGATCCTCCTTTTATATCTATATACTTTTCAGCTCTATCCATCAGATATACAATGGATGGACTCATTTTTATTATATACTACAAACCATCTCCATACAACTAGAAGTACTAGCCTGAAAAAAAAGATATGTTTCTAAATGCTAAGCCTCATGTATATAGCATGGTTATGGCTCCCTGGCAAATATCTTGGAAACAGTCACCACCACCATTTCTGGCTGTTAAGAAAGGTCCAATGCCAGTTTCACCTCCTCTAATACTCCTCCAATTGTGATGACTGCTTCTCTCTCCTCACTGCACAACAGTTAGAAGATATACATAACTTTTTTAGAACTTTTACTAAATGTTTTGATATGACAAACGATAGAAGAGACTCTATTTGGCATTGGAACCCAGAAAAAAAATGATGTCTTTCAGAGAGAATATTAACTGAAAAGGAAAAAAATATATATGTTACCAGAGAGCCTAAACATCTATGCCTTTTTTCTTCCTCTACTCTCAATTTAGTAAGAATAAGTACAGAAAATTGAAAGTGCCTATGTCTTCCTTAAGCATATCACTTACCTGTCAAGTGTTGGTGAACCTCTGAAGGGTCTCCCACAAGGATGACAGCAATGTGGAAGTAGGGAACTTGCTCAGGGCCCTGCCTTAGTGATCCTGGTGTAGCCAAGCTGGCCCTTATAGATAGTCTGGACCAAGCCCCTACATTTCTAATTGAGGACAATGAACCCAGGGAGTTCTTTGAGAAGGATTATCCAGAACCCCACACTTAGAGATTAGTCATGCCCAGATAGGAAACCCTGGCTGCTCCTACTTTATCATGCCCACATGGATTTTGCTCCTACAAAATGGTTGCTTGGAAACAGAGGATGAACAGGAATCTACAACTTTTCCTAAATTCCCAACAAATAGTAAGGTGGTAGACTTAAACTCAAGCACACCGATAATCAGTCTAAAAGAAAAGAGTCTAAAAGCCTCAATTAAAAGGCAAAAATTATCAAACTGGATAAATAAAGCAAGCTGAACTCTTCTCTATAGGAAATGCCTTTAAATATCAAGGTGAAGAGAAGTTAAAAGTAAAAAGATGAAAAATAAATACCATGCAAATATTAATCATAAAAAAGATGAAGAGACTATATTAATATTAGACAAAGACTCCAGAACAAGTCACCTTACCAGGGATAAAAAGTATTTAGGTCATTAAATATGAAATGTCCAATTTTGGATCAAAAATGTAGTTTATTATCTCTCAAACAAGAAGCAGTACAATTAATGAAAGTATGTGCCTAAATTATTGACACAATTTTGCCATCTTAACGGTAGGTAGCTTGTTTATGCCAGCAGCAAAAAAAGCCTGGAGAGCCAGTGGCCATGAAGTCAAGAAAGGTGTTTTCCACAGCCTGTTGAGAATTGAATATTTTTCCTTGCAAAAAGTGGTCCAAAGCCTGGAAGAAGTGGTAGTCAGCTGGTGCAAGGTCTGGTGGATACAGTGGATGACACAGAGTTTCAAAGACCACCCTCTGTAGTCTGAGTGGCATTGTTTGTGTGACATGTGGTCCAGCGTTGTCTCGCAAGAGGATTGGCTTGTCCCTATTGACCAATCTCAGCCACTTAATCGCAAGCATCCTCATTGTTTCATCCAATTGGTTGCAGTAGACATCTGTTGTAACTGATTGACCAGGTTTCATGAAGCTGTAGTGGATAACATCAGCGATGGAACACCAGACACCACTAGCTTTTTTGATGAATATTCAGCTTTGGGCTGTGTTTTGGCACTTCATCTTTATCCAACCATTGTTCCAAATGCTTGATATTCTTAAAAAGGATCCATTTTACCATCTGAGGGATGGTCATGCTGGAGACTCAGACTCCAGCATGAGGGGGGAGGGGGAAGGGCATTTATTGAAACCTTAAAAATCTGTACCCCCATAATATGCCGAAATAAAAAAAAAAGGATCCATTTTTCATCACACATAACAATACAGTGTAGAAATTGTTCGCCTTTATGTCGTGACAGCAAAGAAAGGCAAGCTTTAAAAAGATTTCTCTTCTGACTCTCTTTTAATAAATGCAAAACCCATCTATCTAGCTTCTTTACCTTGCCGATTTGTTTCAAATGGTCCAATATTGTAGGAATAGTAATGTCAAATCTTGCTGCTAATTCATGCATAGGTTCAGATGGACTTGCTTCCGCTATAGCTTTCACTCATCATTATCCACCTTGGTGTCATGTCGCCCACATGGCTCATTTTCAAGATTAAAATCACCAAACACGGAACTTCTCAAACCATCAACGTACTGTGCATTCATTAGCCACATCTTTTCCAAACACTTCATTGATATTTCAAGCTGTCTGCGCTGTATTGGTTCCGCGACAGAACTCATATTCGAAAAAATATGAATTTTTGACTTATCTATGGTTTTACAAAAATTGTTCTAAAAAAATTAAAAGATAATCACAAGACAAAAAGTGCATTTGAAAGACTGAGGGTGTGCCTTCATAAAAACTATAAAACAAGAAGTGTCAGAGTGAAATGTCAGAGATATCAACTGCTTAATACTTAAGGAAATCAGACATTTCATACTTAATAACCTAATATTTAATAACATCTCATAAAAAATTAGTCAATTCAAGAAGACATAACAGAACATCAAAAAAAAATACTTAGGAATAAGCTTAACGAACGAGGCTAAAGACTTATGCACTGAAAACTACAAAATGTTGCTGAAAGAATTCTCTTTTTTTAAAGAGACAGAGTCTTACTCTATTGCCTGAGTTGTAGTGAAGTGGCACAATCAGAGTGATTCACCTGCCTCAGTCACCCAAGCATGTGGGAGTACAGACATGTGCCACAACGCCCAGCTAATTTTTAAAATTTTTTGTAGAGACAGAGTCTCACTATGTTGCCCAGGCTGGTCTCAAACTCCTAGCCTCAAGCAATCCTACCATCTCATCCTCCTGAGTAGCTGGGACTACAGGCACAAGCCACCATACCTAACTGAGAGAAATTAAAGAAGATACTGGTGGTATAGACATTGGTGGTATAGTGGTGAGCATAGCTGCTTTCCAGAAATTAAAGAAGACACAAATAAATGAAAAGACATCCACATGTTCATGGATTGGAAGACTTGATATTATTAATATGTCAATGCCACACAGAGTAATCAACAGATTCATCCCAATTACTATCAAAATCCCAATGGTAATTTTGTAAAAATAGAAAAATCCACCCTAAAACTTATATGAGACCTCAAGGGACATTGAATAACCAAAACAATCTTGAAAAATAACAAAGTTGGAGGTCTCACATTTCCTGATTTCAAAGCTTACTACAAAGCTACAGTAATTAGAAGAGTATAGTACCGGCATAAAGATAGACACATAAAGAATAGAATAGACAGCCCACAGGTAAAACCTCACATATATGGTCAAATGATTTTCAACAAATGTGCCAAGATCATTCAATGAGGAAAAGGAAGTCTTTTCACCAAATGGTGCTGGGAAAACTCTATATCCCCATGCAGAAAGAAAGAAAGAAAGAAAGAAAGAAAGAAAGAAAGAAAGAAAGAAAGAAAGAAAGAAAGAAAGAAAGAAAGAAAGAAAGAAAGAAAAGGAAGGAAGGAAGGAAGGAAGGAAGGAAGGAAGGAAGGAAGGAAGGAAGGAAGGAAGGAAAAGAAAAAGTTGGAATCTTACCCTATACAATATGCAAAACAATATGCATTCACAAAATGAATCACAGACATAAACCTAACCGCTAAAATTATAAAACTCTCAGAAGAAAATTTAGGGGCAAAGCTTCATGTTAATAAATTTGGCAATGACACATAGACAACAAAAGAAAAAATGAATAAGTTGGAGTTTATCAAAAGTTAAATATTTTTTGCATTAAAAGACACTATCAACAGAGTAAAAAGACAAATCATGTATTGGTAAAAAATATTTGTAAGTTATATATCTGATAAGGGATTAATATTCAGAATATATAAAGAACTCCTACAATTTGACAACAACAAAACTCAATTAATAAATGGGAAAAGGACTTGAATAGATATTTCTCCAAAGAAGATATACAAATGTCCAATAATCATGTGAAAAGATGCTCAACCTCACTAATCAGTAGAGAAATGCAAGTCAAAACCACAGTGAGATATCACTTCACACCCATTAGGATGATTATTATTTTAAAAAACAGAAAATAGCAAGCATTGGTGAGGATGCTGAGAAATTGGTGCACCTATGTATTGCTAGTGGGAATATAAAATGATGCAGCTGCTGTGAAAAATAACATGGTGGTTCCTCAAAAAGTTAAAAGATAGAATCATCATATAATTCAGCAATTCTATGTCTGGGTATTTACCCCAAAGAAGTGAAAGCAGGGACTGAACAGATATTTTTACACCCAAATTCATAGCAGCATTATTTACAGTAGTCAAAATGTGGAAGCAACCCAAGTGTCTATCAACAGATGAGTGACTAAACAAAATTCAGTGTATAAAGACAATCAATTATTATACACCCTTAAGGAG